GCTTTATCTTGAAAATGTCGTAAGGGAGATTCAGGCATCTGTCAATTATCTTGCGTTATATGATAAACATAATAAATACCCTGTGAGATTACTCATTTATCAGGAGGCTGAAACAGTTCGTTTATTTGGTTGTTTCGTGGCACATCAAATAACATTTTCTTTGACATTGAAAACACACGAAGTCGCGAGTGCTTTGACAAATTAAAAATTAAGTAGATACATACAAAGGATAGAAATTAAGAATAATATGTAGTTTCATATTTCGAAATTGAATAAAGGAGAAGTTCTCGTATGAGTCGGTTTTATTTGACTGCCTCTTCTAAGCGGTCAATCTTTTGTTTGTTTTTTATGACATTTGGTCGTAAATAACATGTGCCTCCGAACCGGAGCTGCTGCTCAACCCGTCTGAGCTTATATTAAGGACCCTTTTCCGCTGTCGTCGTGTCGGCGACGAGCGGGTCGACGATTGGGCCGAACCGACTGTGGCCATGTCATCGTCTGACACGACATTGGCTCTTAAGGAGCTTACTTCAAGGTCCTTCTCGGACATCTTCCTCTGAACTCCGTCCTTCCCGGACCTGACGTCTAGGCAGTTTTTGCCCCCCCCAGAGTACGTGGGGCAGCGTGCGTCCGACGAGTCGGCCGCACGGAGGGATTCTCCCCCCGCGGAGCGGGAGGTACCCTCCTGGGGTAGTATCTTTTTAAAACTAGCCATTACATTTATTTCTTTTTTATATATTTTTTAACCCAGGGTTCGGTTCCCTGGGACACCCTAGCGACTGGTCGCCCACCAGCCATTCATTCTCTCGCCGGGTGTCAGAGCTTAGAATTGGGTATAAAAGGAAAGAAGATAAAAATAAAACCAAATAAAATCAAAATAAAACCACAGGAGAAGAAGAATAGAAAAGCGTGTAAAATAAAACAATGAACGGAAACAAAAGAAGAGAAAGAGACAGATTGAAACTTAAATTAAATTAATAAATAAATAAAAATAACCAAAGGACAGTGTGAACAAAACAATAAAACAACAAGGAAAAGAGGGAAAAAGTGGAGGCCCTCGCATCTCCAGGAGAACCACCCTTCAGCAAGTGAAGGGGGAGGAGAGCGTGTAACCCCCGATGCTGGTTTTGGTCCGCGTCGCTCAATCTCTCCCGCCGTAACACAACGAGAGAGAAGGAGCGATGCCCCTGTGACTATTGCCCAGAGGCCCGTGATCCGCCACCTACGGACGCGCCCGGTCGAAGTCCAGCAACTCCCCCGCAGACGAGACCCACAGCACGCAGAGTGCGCGCCGCAAGCCCGTCCACAACCGGGAGCCTTAGAGGGCTATTCCAGCGTAAACCAGCGAGTAAGTGAGCTCACGGCGCTCTGACCTGTGGACGTTGCTAACACTAGCTCTAACAAGAGCAGTGCTTCGCAAAATATACCACCGGATCGGAAACGTGACCCACTGAGAAGATCCGTTGACAAACTCAGTGGGGTCTGTAGGTCTTTAGACATGACGTTGACTGCTTTAAATAAGTACTGTCAAATACTTTTTACTGGTACGCATGACTACTTCTAGGTTCAGAAATAGGTAGGGTGGTAGTACCTACCTGCGCGGACTCACAAGAGGTCCTACCACCAAGTAATTACGCAAATTATAATTTTGCGGGTTTGATTTTTATTACACGACGTTATTCCTTCACCGTAGAAGTCAATCGTAAACATTAGTTGAGTACGTATTTCATTAGAAAAACTAATACCCGTTAATGCCACGATGACTTTTTATTTATTGTATTAATAAGTTTAATATTTATGTATTATAATATTCTATGTGGATTGGGAGAGGCCTATACGACTTTGGGCTGTTGATGATGATGATGATTTGCTATGTATTTAAAAAAAATTATATTTCATGTATTTAAGTATATTTTTGAACAAAGTATATTACTAGTAATAAAGTGATTATACAACATTCATTTATTTATTTATTTTTAATCCATATGCACATAATATTACATTTATTTTTGCTTCACATTTGGTTAACTAGTAGAAAATGTATTCCGCATAACTGTGCATGAAATGTAATATTCTTCTATATATATAAAAATGACTTGCTGTTTGTTAGTCTCGCTAAAACTCGAACACGGCTGGACCGATTTAACTAATTTTGGTCTTGTATTATTCGTGGAAGTCCAGAGAAGGTTTAAAAGGTGAATAAATACGAAAATGCTCGGAATTATACAAAAATAAACAATTTTGTTTTACCTTTGATGTGTCCCCCGTCGGACGGATTCCTTTTGTTTTTTTTAAGTTTATTTTATACAAAAGCTTAGGTCTTTCATTTATCGATTGAGGCACTACAAAGTCTGCTAGGTCAGCTAGTAACGAAATAAAAAAAAAATTAAAAAAACATGGTAAGTATATTTCCACGCTAGTCGAAATCGTTCAACATGGCATGATATATTAATTATATTATTTAAATTCTGGATACATCGTCAACGATTTTACTATTTCGTGTTTTATCAAAGTAATGTAAACTTTGTTCCAGACCTAGACAGGTTTTACGAACGTTTTATTCTGTCTCTTGTAGACTTGTATTAGCATGATCGTATAGTAAAAGGGATTATCCTCATGATGCGCTATTGATATTTGCTCGTAAACTTTATGCCTTCATAGAAACTCAGTATATTCGTAATCTTCAGACATACGCAGTGTTCTAAGACCATTACAAGGTCAATGTAGCGTTCATAACATTTTTTATTGACGCTTGTAAGGACGGAAAATTAAAAAAAAAAACTAGTAGATTTAGGGAAAAGTAAATTAACTTGTAATATTATACGAAAACAACTATGCGGCCACTGTTTTAATACCAAAGATACTTTGGTCTCGATTCTCAAGCTAGGCAGTGACATTCAAATTTTGGTATCTGTGAACTAGAGCAACCACTTAATACCAAGTGTCCATATGTTGATATTTTATTACATATTATATAAAGTATAGCGAAATAATATAGAAAAGAAAATGAAAATTATTATGTTCAGAATATATATTAATATAAAATTTGAACATAAGTGCGTAATAATGAAGATTGAGGAGATTTAGAAAGAAAATCTTTTATAACTTTTATAATGTGTACTTGATTTGAATCTCACAGTTTTTTTTTGTGATTTATTTGTTCATTAAATCATCATTGTATAAAAACTACTGAAATTGCAATTTGATTTTCTTGTTTTGTTTGACGCATCAAAATTCAAGATTTACTAAGCTTACTGCAGATTTCATGTCATTAAAATAAATCTGAGTAGAAGATATGTACATTAAAAATAGAACAAAAAATATGTACTTGTAATGATTACATTAAATTAGTCACTTCTCCATCTATACTATATATATATATATAATATTATAAAGAGGAAAGATTTGTTTGTTTGTTTGTTTCGAATAGGCTCCGAAACTACTGGACTGATTTGAAAAATTCTTTTTCCATTAGAAGCTGACATTGTCCCTGATGAACATAGGCTACTTTTTTTAATTTTTTTATTATTATTATTTTTTGGTTTCATGTGTGTTTTAATGTTTCCGAAGCGAAGCGAGGGCGGGTCGCTAGTGTTATAATAACAAAGGATATAACAATACAGCCATTTAATTCCGAACTACACAAACTACATGCATGATGAAATTTAACATGTTTGTGTTTTTTTTTTACATTTTATTTCTTAGAATATATCTACCCATAGACACAGCCCACTGAGTTTCTCGCCGGATCTTCTCAGGGGGTCGCGTTTCCGATCCGGTGGCAGATTCTGCGAAGCACTTACTGAAGCTTGTTTATCACTACACTAAATAGTATAAAACAAAGTCGCTTTCTCTATCCCTATAACCCTATGTATGCTTAAATCTTTAAAACTACGCAACGGATTTTGATGCGGTTTTTTTTAATAGATAGAGTGATTGAAGAGGAAGGTTTATGTGTATAATAACATCCATTAAATAGTGGAGAAATCAGTAATAAATTACAATTTCCGAAGCAAAGCGAAGGCGGGTCGCTAGTATAATATATAAAAAAAAATGTGTGCGTGTACTAGTGTACACACGTAAGAAGTGAAACTTATTTATGGCCTTATTTTTCGAAAAATGATCTACATGCAACTTTCTAGAAATTGGTTAAATAAAGTTAAATTAGATAAAGTTTAAACAAAAGGATTTTATTATCATAGACATGAATACAAAAAAGTTAAATTAGATAAAGTTTAAACAAAAGGATTTTATTATCATAGACATGAATACAAAACAGATGGCGCGTAACGGAAAAATGTGACGCGTAACCGAAAAACGTGACGGTAAATTTTTTTCCAACGCCGATAAGGAAGTTTCACTTCAACAATGTTAATAGACGCAACAATGTTACAATGTTAACAGAAGTAGGACTTTTGGTTATTAGAGAACGCCATGAGCGTACAGAAGGAATAGGTTGTGTAGTATGGATATTTTCTAATTAATTTAATAGGTGAGTGCATTCGATAAGTGGATTAGTTAGGTACATACCGTGCAACCTTGTTTCATACTAACATCCAATCAACGAGAAAAGCTTTTACCATCCAACCGGTATGTGTTAAACGCTCTCTGTACTCAAATATATCTTATATATTGTTAAAGAGTATTTTTAATGTATATTCGTTTAAGATTATTTATTTTAAATTTGAATGCGATATTCAAACGTTGCTTTTCATGTGAATCTGTAGGCTTCGGAACATGATTCTCTCGAATCATCAAAATATATGAAAAAAAATCATGGTTACTTCACGACATGACGATTGATTTCAAATTTAACAGATTCACAGACCGATAATAATACGTAAGATAAGAATTACGGGAAATGGTGAGGATACTACTAGAGAGGGATTCTAAGGAAGTATAATACGGCGGCCTTTAGTTTCATACTTTCTTAATTTATAGTGTAGAAAATGTCGCTGTCACTTCTAGTTTGGTGTTATAGTAAATACATTTCAAATATATTTTAATTGGTATCCTTATAAGCTTTAATATTCATTCTAGAGTGTAAAAACTTTGACAAAGATCACAAGAGAAAACTACGACATCCAAACTTGCCTGCTGTTGTCTAGATAAATAAATAAACTACCCAATTCAGAATGTTTTTTTTTTTCTCTAACTGAGGAATACAAATAATATATAATAATAGTTTAAGTAATGTGTTAAGTACTAATTTATTTATAATAAAATTCGACTAATCCAATGGGGCAACCTGAAATCACCATTTTTTGCTGTTGGAAAATCCAACATTTTTATTACCAAGTCCCTTCACTGAACGTTGCCATAAAACTTAGAGCGCGTTAAATGATCACCACAGGTTTCGGTTAGTATCGATATTTGCGTCTAGACAGTTTTGAGAACCACTCGAAGCATATGAAATAGTTTTATATGTCTTAAAATCTCATATTTGGCCGACTTTATGAGGAATTAATACAAAAATTTTGTCCAATGAATCTGTTATTGAAAATTTATCATGTCTGAGCCAGAGAATGATGGTAATCTAAACTGTAATAGAGTTTGTACATCGCCCTTTCTAGTCACCGTCCTCGTCGAACCCGTCGCTTGCGACAAAGGGCTCGACGAGCGAATTAACCCATAGACACAGCCCACTGAGTTTCTCGCCGGATCTTTTCAGTGGGTCGCGTTTCCGATCCGGCGGTAGATTCTGCGAAGCACTGCTCTTGCTAGGGTCAGTGTTAGCAACTCTCCGTTTCAAGCCCCGTGAGCTCAACTACAAACGTTAGGGCGAAGCTGAAATAGCCTCTCAAGGCTATCAGCATAGGTAGGATAAAAAAACATCGCCCATCAAATTTCAATAACGAGTACGCTACTGATTTAAACATTATTTAAATTCCATGCATTGGCAGTATTGTGAACGTACCTCCGTACAACCATTCTAC